TTAGGGTATTATTAATTGTATTAATTAGTGATTGTTGAATATTTGAGGAGTTTTTAGAGCAGAGAAGAATGTGTATTGTATTTTCAGTAGTTGGGCATTGTGTACAATTAGAAGTTGTGTATAGGTAAGGATAGTGAATATTTAGATTTTGCATTATAGGTAAATTATTTGTTAGAATTTTAATGCAGAATATACGTATATATTTGTGAGTTGTGTTCAAGGGAGTTTAGTATTTTAAACATTAAAGCTTATTTGATTTCTGTATTATTTTGTAAAGACCAATCAAAACGTTCTTTATGGAAATAAAGATGCTTTACAGCTCATTAAAAAGCACGCAGAACCGGGAATATATGAATACCTTCATCCGTCATCATTCGATTCTAGCAGTCATTACGTTCGCGCTTTAAAAGATGATGTTTTTGGTGATAGATTAAGAAATGTCTTTAAAAGATTTAACATAGTTTCGGTAGGTGTTATATTTATTGAAATAGTTAAATTATTAAATCCAGATGGGGTGGATGAAAACGAGGAATAAGGACCTTATAAATCGGATAGCTCGATAACTAAGGTACTCCATGCACGTCGCAACACTTCCGTCTCCAACATATCAATGAAAATGAAAATACTGTATACTGTACATTTGAACAATTAATTATATTTCAAAATAGAAATTTCTATAAGAATTGTTTTTTTATTTTTATTTTTTCTTTTTGTATTAATATTACGATCGTGCAAATTCATTCACTTAATATTTTTAAATACAATTAAATATTAAGTAAAATCCTCGAAAATACTTGAATCCCAATTTATAGTTTAGAAAAAGATAAATTATTTGAATAAAATTGAGGTTTTTAGAATTTTTAAATGAGTTAATTATATTCCAGTTTTTGTTTTGAATTGGTTTAATAGGAAGAGTGTTTGTTGGATTTTTAATTGCTACTTTACTATCTAAAAAGATAGTTATAGTAGAATTTGTTAGTATAATAAGTAGAAGTGTGATGATTGAGAATAATTCAGCATGAGTAGAGTCTGGATAAGATGGTAATACTGAATTAAATTTAATAGATGTATTGTTCATACAAATTCATCCTATACCTGCTTGAATATTAGGAGTTTGTATATTCTTAATTGAGGTATCTGTATAAAATTGTAAGTCATTTGTTTGTAAATTATTGATAGATTGAAAAAGATTAGTTAATTGATTTTGGTAAG